AAATTATTGATCAATTATGTTTGATCGATCAAGAAAATTTTCATAGAATACATTTTTTTTATTTTAGTTTTTTTTTTTTTTTTTTTTTTTTTTTTTTTTTTTTTTTTTTTTAGTAGATAAGATATAATCGATCGATTATATATACTAAATTATGTGCTTGATTGATCATACGTGATCAAGCTTACATAATTGATTTTTGATCGATTAAGCAAAAATTTTTTTGGTCAATCATCGAGCAATGATTTTTTGTCGAGTCAATTCACTACATTGGATTTTGTTTATATCATTCTAATTTTAAGATTCGTTAAAATGATTGTATACTTTTTAAATTTAGACTCATTCATCCTTTAAGAAGGCTACCATGATAGCTAATGTACGCTTTCGTGCACTTCCAATAGACGAGAAATTATCTCTGAGGGGAGATACTGTTAAGCGTGAAATTGAGAAGGATATTTCTCAAGGTCTAATTCCATGTTTCCTTACTGGAACAATAGGTACAACAGGTTCTGCTGCAGTTGATCATATTTCAGAGTTAGCAGACGCAAGTATGTATAATGCATTATGGATTTTATAAATTATTTTATAGTTGAACAAAATTTAATTTTGTTTTTGTTTTCAAAAGTTCAGGGTACAGACGTGTGGTTACATATTGATGCTGCTTATGCTGGTTCCGCCCTTGTTTGTCCTGAATATCGACATTATCTTGATGGTGTTGATCGGTCAGATTCATTTAATCTTAACATGCACAAATGGTTACTGACAAATTTTGATACTTCATGCTTATGGTAATATTGATGTTTGAATATGCTTTACTGTAGAATAAGATATCTCGATAAATAACTTTTAAAGAACTCACTTTGTTTATAGGGTTAAAAGGCGAAAACTTCTTATAAGTGCATTGACCGTTACACCAGAAATTTTAAAAAATCCTGCTAGTGAAAGTGGATTAGTTTTAGACTATCGAGATTGGCAATTACCACGTAAGATAAAAACATTTCAATTCGTGAATAGACGTTAAATCATTTAAAAGGTTATCATTATTTTAAAAAATTTATTTTATTCAGTGGGTAGACGCTTTAGATCATTGAAAATATGGTTTGTTTTGAGATCTTACGGAGCGAAAGGTTTGAGGGAACATATTCGAAAGGTATATATGTTTAATGATTCTAACACGAATAAATAATTAGAATAATGATGATAATTATAATAATAATTATTATTTTAATTCAATAGTCAATAAATCTAGCGAAACATTTCCAAAACAAGCTTACATCAAAATATTCCGATCTTTTTGCTATCTCAGTGGAACAAGCATTTTCACTTGTTTGTTTCCATGTCATTTCTAATGAAAAATCTCTTGAAACATCAAATGAGCTCACTGAAAAAGTTTTTAATCGTTTGAATAAAAGTCAAAAAATTTATTTATCACACACTAAATTAAATGATCAATTCGTTATAAGATTTGCCGTAGGAAGCCCATGGACCACTGAGGAACATGTAGACATGGCACTTGACCTTATAGTAAAGACTACTAAGGAAGTTATTGGAATTAAAGATGAAAATAATCTTTTTTCTTAAGGTTCGGTACAGCGTTTTATAATAATTTTTATTAATTGAATGTAATTACTTATTTAATAAAACAACGACGTGAACGTAAACATAAAACCTGGTTATCCATTTGGCTCCTAACAATAAATATGTGAGAAACTAAATTTATAATATTTTAGGGTGAATAGACCGAGTCCCACATTGTGTTTAATTGTTTACATTTACATAATGTCTTACATGAAAGTAGCGAGTCTCTATTGAAAACGACATTATTAAGTAACAAATGTCAATACCCTAATTATTTTACATGAAAACATATCCTAAATTCTATTTCACATAATTAAATACACGAATAAAGATTATAAAGATGCGTTGGGTAATATTATATTTTGCTGGTCCGGTCGCAATAATTGCTCTTTTACTTCATCTACTCGCTCGATCAATCCTTGAGTAAACTTAACCGCCTCTCTCCTTTTTTGTCTAGCAGTCTCAAATTCTGGTGGACAATCAACTGAATCCAATGTGAGAAGGGATTGCATCAATGTTTCAACAATGCAAGTATGAGTTTCTGTTAGTTTCGACTTGACTGTGTCATCGTTGTCTTCAGACGATAGGAATGTAGCCACTGAAGTTTCAAAAGACTCTATTTGTGGAATCAAAGTTGTCCTTGTTTTTTCGACAGATTGTGAAATGCGCGTTATGAGTGCATGCTCTTCGGATGATCCTGTTGTTGTCTGTGCTAAATCTTTGGCCTGAATTATTATATATTAAATGAAAGTTCAATCAATAAATCTATTAAATTATTAATAAAAAATACATATAAACCTTACATTTGGTTTTGATCCCATTAAAAGTAATTTTGAAAATGGTTGTAATCCAAATGATGTCAAAGCCGCTGTTTCATCTTTCATTATGGCTAATTTAAAAATAATCATAATGATCTTAGTCTAGTTAACAAAATTTTAAAATAATTAACCCTAAACAATTAATTTTTTTTTCTTTTTTTACCTCCTGAAAAAACCAATTTTTGTCCGTTTACTGGCACCCCGGTGATCTCTTTTAGTCGTTCTTTCAATTGCTTTAATGTCGTTTCCTCGAGTGACCCCGTCCCTTGTTCAGTAAAATCGAGGTGAAGCTTCTCCCTTCCCCAAGTGATTATTAGCTCCGGTGCCTTTTGAGGTTCTGCTCAGTTAAGTTTTCATTTTATTTTATTTTTTTTATTTAAAAAAAAATTTATAAAGTGAAGCAATCCTGAAAAACAAACACGTTGTCATTCTAACAATTACCTTCCATTGATTTCGACGAAGCGGGCAAAACTGAAGAAAGGAGGGGTTTGGCGTAACGCCAAAGAACGACAAATGGTAGAGCTATGTCGGCCGAAATATTGAATTATTATTTTACAGATAGAATCAAATAAAAAGCCTGAATTAGATCAAGTAAAGGATTTCGGTGACATGCTTTGAATTAGATATTTTATATGCAGTATCTGTATTACAATTCCTAAATTTGTTACTAAAGAATCGAATTATGAATTCTTTTTAACAAATATAGATAAGACAGTACACAGAAATTTTTTTCGGCTTTCAAAAATGCAAAGTGTAGATTATATTGTTTGATGAAACCTTCATTGAAAAATTAGTTATCCCTCCCTACAATCATCATCTACATAATCACAACCTCTATGTAATCACAATTTTGTATTTGTCATTTTTCTATATAATACGTAGGTATTCATATATAGGATAACTTTCTTCTGATTGGTCAATCGCTTTCAATTGTATTTATACAGTTTAAAGTACTTTTTAAGAA